ACCTCCATCATCAGATTTTAGTAGAAAGCAACCCAAGAAGCAACTTCCCACTTTTTGCACATGTTACCGCTTAATAGACCACCATCGCTCTGGCTCTCGGAAAGGAATAAGCGGTCTTTTACTATTTTTGTTTCTCAAAATCTGCCTACTTTTGTGGGCTTGCAAGTGGGAGTAAGCCCAACTGAGTTGAGTGAGTTTTACTCCAAGGTAAGCTGGGCACAGCTTCGTAGGCTTAGCCTGGCCCTTTCTAGACAAGGCACTCATTGTGCTATGGCTTGGCTTATTCACTGATTTTTACGAAGGACTCCAGATGGCCTTTCCCCATTTGTGAATCCCCTTTGTTTTTTCCACCCTTTCTCCTACTTGAAACATCCACGAAAGAGAGAAAAAGTGGAGTGGCCCCATAGAATACCTTTTTTCTGGCAGTGTTGATGCCATCTGTTTGAAGGCCCTACTTTCCCAGATAATTGCATTATTTCCCCCAAGCTTCCGGCCTCTTTCTCGTTTGCTTTCGTTCCATTCTATAAAGCTTTAATTGCTAATTTCTACTTATAGCAAAGTGGCTACTTTGAGCTGGAGGCTGCGTGGTGTTTACATTCAGCCTGAAACTATGAATATGAATACACACAGCTACGTCGCCGCTGATGTCTACCTCAGTGATTGCTGTTGTGTGGTCATGACTCAACTGAGGTCAAAGCAGGGACAGAAGCGAGGATCAGGCTAATTCTTGGTTGCTGGAGTTTTTCAGGAAAAGCAGGACTATATAAAACTAGGGTTCAATTTATAGCTCGAAATCTCAACTGCCTATTCCTGGTTCTCCCTTTCCTGCCCCCTTCCACGTTTAGAAAAAAAAAAAAAGGATGTTTGTAACATTTTTTTTTTTTTCTATTTCAAGGGTCTCGGTGTCTAAAGAAAGAAAGTTTTAGTGTGGAGCTAAATTTAATGGGAGCTTGGATGACCAAATTTAAATGTGACCCGGGGTTAGATCCTTTCCTAAAGTTGCTGGTTTTGCCAACAGGAGCTGCTTTATTATTAGTTACTGAGGAAAGGGGGAGGTTACTCAAAGGATGCTAACCAAGGGTGAAATCCAGCAGGTTCTGGAGAACCCATAGTGGAAATTTTGAGCAGTTTGGAGAACCGGTAGCGGAAAGTTTGAGTAGTTCGGAGAACCAGCAAATACCACCTCTGGCTGGCCCCAGAGCGGGGTGGGAATGGAGATTTTGCAATATCCTTTCCCTGGAGTGGGTGGTTATGGAGATTTTGCAGTATCCTTCCCCTGCCATGCCCACCAAGCCACGCCCACAGAACCAGTAGTAAAAAAAAATTTGGATTTCACCACTGATGCTAACCCTATGTGGTTGTGGGACTATAATGCTTCTTTGGAGGTTCTAGCACAAGGGTGTCAAAGTCGTGTCGTCATGGCGTCGTCACGTGATGTATTGTGACATTTTCCTCCTTCACTAAACCAGACGTGGGCGTGGCCAGCGCATGACACATCCGGCCCGTGAGCCGTGAGTTTGACAGCCCTGTTCTAGTGTTGAAAGAACCGCTCAACTGCCGACCTTTTCGATCGACAAGCTCAGCATCTTAGCCACTGAGTCACCGTGTCCATCTGGGTTCAGTTCCAAGTGGGGAGAAAGACACTGGAAACATGGAGACTGCTTGAAAAGATGGTTTAATGGTGGACAGGACCACATGGTTTTGAGGTCCTGGGCAAAAAGGCACATGGGAGAGAGAGAGAGAGGGAGGGAGGGAGGGGGAGAGAGAGAGAGAGAGGGAGGGAGGGAGGGGGAGAGAGAGAGAGAGAGAGAGAGAGAGATTTATACCCTCTGTGGGGCTTTTGAATTTGAGTTTGTATTCTGATTGATTGTCAGATTCCCATGGGGCCACGCAGGGGTAACTTTGTAGGTTGTCTTTTGAGTCCCCAAGGGTTAGTTGAATCTTGCTGGGTGATGCAATCTCCCCAGGTGCCATGTGGTGAGTTCTGTTGCTAGATGGGTAGAGGGATAATCCTATCTTTGTTGGCTCTTGGGTAAGGGCATTTGCTTATGAATAGACCTAGCTATCTCTTAAGTGCTGACATCTGCTGACACCTGCTGTGGGCTATTGAGGAGGGTGAGGGCTATTAAGAATGAGTCTGCTTCCTGCCTAAAAAACATGTTTCTCCATTTCTCATCCAGGGAAATATAATATTCTGCCTTTTTAATATTTCCTAGAACATTTCATTCTTCTAGGAGAGGGATGGGTGCTAACTTCCTATACTAGCAAGAGAGTGTAGCTATTGCATACCCTTCACAGAAGATCACTACACTCCTATCTGGGATGGTTGTCCTCTTTCAGTGAAGGGGACACTCCCTAGGTAGCCAGTGTAGCTGAGTCAATCCTGGCGATCAATGGAGTGACAGATGTCACAGCCAGATCGTTCTCACAGCTGACTGTAAATGCTTAGAATTCTCCTTAACTACATTAGCCCAGCCTGAAGGAGAGTCTTCCCGTACCATGCATACAATGTGGTTTTTAGGTTTCAGGGATGTGGCACTTGACGCTGTCCCACAGAAAATCATGTCCATTTTTCTCCACTTTAGAATGGTGGATTCGATTCTCTCAGTGGGCTTTGGGAGTTGGCCTCCAGGTTTGAAGGAGTGTCCACACTGGGGTAGCAGGATCCTATCTGGGTTGGTCACTGGGGACCAGAGGTTTAGTCTTCTGAGCTTTGGGACTCATGGTTGGAGCCCATCCTCAGGGAACTTCTCTCTGATCAGAAGGTGTGCTTTGGGCTATGCATAGTACTTATGGGGTGCCTGGTTGCACCCCATAAATACTATTAAGTTGTCAGCCATTAACACCCCAGCCAAGAAAAAGCCACATGCAACCAGGCACCCCATAAATACTATTTATGTAATTATTTATATGAATAATATTTATGGCTGACTATTAAGTTGTTGTAGGGACGTGGTGGCTCAGTGACAAAGACGCTGAGCTTGTTGATCGAAAAGGTCGGCAGGTCAGCGGTTTGAATCCCTAGTGCTGCGTAACGGGGTGAGCTCCCGTTACTTGTCCCAGCTTCTGCCAACCTAGCAATTCAAAAGCAAGTAAAAAATGCAAGTAGAAAAAATAGGGACCACCTTTGGTGGGAAGGTAACAGCGTTCCGTGTGCCTTTGGCATTTAGTCATGCTGGCCATATGATCACGGAGACGTCTTCGGACAGCGCTGGCTCTTCGGCTTTGAAATGGAGATTAGCACCGCCCCCTAGAGTCGGGAACGACTAGCACATATGTGCGAGGGGAACCTTTACCTTCACCTTGTTAAGTTGTTGGCTGTTGTTTCCTTGTGCTGCCAAGTCCTTGGCTCCTAAGTACCTGATAAGCTGGTGATAAATCAGCAGTCCTGTTGATTGACAAGGGGACTGGATTCCAGCACGGGTCCAGAAGCTCGGAAGAGTAGGTGACTGACCAGGATTGGATCCTGCAACATTATCCTGGGACACATATAGTAGCTTTTATTCATGAGACTGCGATAGGCTGATGGAGAAGCTTGCAAGCTGCTTCCAGAATTGGGCATTTAACATGGACAGGTATTAAAATAGGAAGGTTGAACCAAGTCTGAAAGTAATTGTTTTCAAGAGTCACTGTCACCTTGATTTGCAGGAATGCAGTTTCCTTGGGGCGGAAGGATGCAGGATTCAAAAGAAATGGACAAACATTCCTAATCTAGGGAACTTTCATCCATTCAACCATTTATTGGTTCATTTCTCCCTCTCTCCCAAAAACAAATTGTTTGTGCCACTCCACCCCAATGCCGGTGCTTCCCTTGATCTTTTCAGTTGATTAGTATGAGAGTACCAAAATCAACATCTGGCTAGAGGTGTGTCCTTGCTTAGCACTTTTGAGCAGCTGCGGTGGTATTTGAAAGCAAAGGGGTGCCACCAGTCCCAGCTTAGTCCCTTGTCAGTGGAGTGTAGTTTTGATTTAGCATTTCAGATACAAAACATTTAAAGGGTACTCCTGTGCCATTCTGCATGACAGATGTGTTCTTAGCTTTTATGGAATGTGTCAAGCTTTTTGGCAGTAAACTATATCTGAAAATGCACAATTCTCACAGCCTCTTTTTCACTAAGATTTATTGAGAAGATTCAGTTCCACAATTGAACTATTTCCTTTCTGGAACCCATAAATCCCTGTATACAGTAGGAAGGCTTTTCTTTGTCTTTCTAACTGCCTTCCTTTGATCTAATGGAGATTATCTTTTTTTCACTGATACAAGAGATATTTTCAATTGCCTATTCACATAGGTTCTGGACTATCACTCTACGAATCCATTCCTCTGTATCATGTGACACACTTACCATGCTTGTATCTCACTCAACATTTGGCACACATTTTAGCTTTATAGATTGTTAAAATCTGTAAGAGTTTATGTCACACCGAGTTGAATCTAGCAACAGTTCTTCCAACTGCATTTTTGACTTGACGCTCCTGATAAAGGTCAGGGTTGTGTCTGAAATTTCACGCAAAATGTGTGTTGCGTTACTTCTGAACTCTGGATCTTTCAGATACATTACAAATATGTAGTGTGTGCGTGTATGTGTCTATATGCATGTACAGTATGTATGCATCCATGTATGAAATCTCCATCAAATTGAACTTAATCCATTTTTGGCAACAATGTGGACATGGTCTGCCATTGCTGATGGTGGAATTTTTTTTTTAATTCATCCTGGTACTCTCTCATCCATACACTAATCAGGTCTAACAAAACTTTGCTTTTGACATCAACCATAGTTGAGTAGATGGCTAAGGAACCACTTTGAGAGCTCATCCCAACTGTTCTATAGCTTTTGATCAAGAAATAATCCCCAGAATTATGTCTGAGCTGTAATAGTGGTGTTTTGATGTTTTTTCTTCATACTCTTTGTTAAGATGCAAATCAACCTGCCCATCTAAGAGTTGAAGGGCATCTGATTCCCACCATTAAAGCCTTTTAAAATTACTGATTTCAGGGGAAAACTGCAAAGGAGGAAGCAGAGATACAGACCTTACAGCTAAGGAGCCTGCAATTCTTGGAACGCTATATTTATCTCATTCTGTTCAACGCGTATCTTCACTTGGTGAAAAAGGACTCCTGGGAGAAACCTTTCAGTCTCTGGATGCATGAGGTCAGTAGTCTTCAATGCCAACTGATAGCAGTTGGATAACATTTTGTAGATTTTCGATTTTGATGTGCAGTGCTAACCTTAGTGAATGGGGGAGTTAAGGCAGACAGGAAATATCTATATCTGAAGATGAATTTGCTCTCAACAGGATTCGTGGTCTATTTCCTCTTCTCACAGCTTTAGGTAGTCCAAACACCTATTTTAGTTTCCAGATGCAATTTTTCAGAACTTGTTGAGATGCATTGTTTGCGCATATTTTGAAGCAGTATAATAATATTCTTCATGAATTCTTAGATAAATAAATAATAGGATGCAGTGATAATCTGGATCTGAAAAAATCGATGTATCAAAGACCAAGGTTTAATAGGGAAAGTGGTGTGAACTTGAAACATAAGCATAAATATATATAAAAAAATGAAAGCAAGTGGATTAATTTTCATCCCTCGGTATTATGTTAATTAAAGATAGGAAAGTTGGGAAGAAGCACCAGCTGCTGATAGAATAGTTGGTGACATGTGGTCTGTTATGAGAAAGTATGTTTGTCAAGAGAATTTTTAAAAAATGCCATTAATATATTTCGTTAATATTTTTGTTAAGTTGTATGCATTGGGAAGAAGTGTGTGTCGTAAAATAGGAAGAGATTGGGTCAAGAACGAAGGGAGGTATGAATTAATATGGCTGGAATACAAAAGTGGATAACGGGTACAAAAGAAGTGTGTTAAAATAGTTTAATCATATAGAGCAGTGATGGCTAACCTTTTCCGAACCGAGTGCCCAAAGCGCGCGTGCGCGCACCCAAACCCCCAAAATGCAATGTGCGTGCAGCCCCTGTGCATGTGCCTCGCCCCCTGTGCATGCATGCGTGCCCCCACCCACATGCGCCCTGCTCTCATGCATGTGTGCGTGGCCCCCCACATGCACCCCGCGCCTCTGCACATCCGCCGCAGAGACCCAAAGACCAGGTGGACGGTGGGAGGTGCGTGCATGCGCAATAGACCTGAACTGGGGCGACGGCTGATGTGCCATCAGAGAGGGCTCTGCGTGCCACCTCTGGCATGCATGCCATAGGTTCACCCTCATGGATATAGAGAGTATGAATGAGGATGGAATTATGGTATGACGAGTAAATGTTTCAGGAGGAAAGGAAAGACTGAATACTACTATCTGGAACGAGCTCCCCCCGGAGATACGGAGGATCCCGGATCTGCGCACTTTCCGCCATGCTCTTAAGACCCTCCTATTCCAGCAGGCCGGCCTGGTCTAATTTTCTCCCCTTCTTTTAAATTTTTTAAACTTAAATTTTAATTTGTTTTTAAATTATTGGGAATTTTAATTGTCTCGGGCGAAATTATTTAATTTGGTTTTAATTATGCTTTTTAACTTTTGTATTTATGTGTTTTATTCTGTGCCTGTTCACCGCCCTGAGTCCTTCGGGAGTAGGGCGGTATACAAATCTAATAAATGAAATGAATGAATGAAATGAATAAACTGATTGGATGGAATTGATGAGCTGAGAAGTTTAAAAGCCACAAGGCAAGTACCGTATGAATCAGTATCAATATGATAGAAGTAAGGAAGATCTGCAAGGACGGAAAGACATGGAGAGCAGTGTGATGTGCATTGCTGTAAGCTAATTCCTCCTCTCTTTAGTTTCTTTGGTTTATTACTTTGTACTCATGTCTCATAATGTTCAAGGCAGTTGAGTGTCCATAAACAAGTGGAAGGAGAAAGAACCATCAGCTCCTGGGGTTTGTTCCTTGGTTAGAGGAAAGTCATGGGTATGCCATGATTGTTGGGACTGGGAAGACAGTATAGAGAGGGAAGGAAAGCAGGTTGACAGAGAGTGGTTAACGCATGCATTAGGTGGATCAGTCCCTCTAGATTGGCAGGATTTAATGGGACTGTCCAAGCATGTCTTGGACATCTCTCAGGAACTTAACAGCTTCTGGGTTATAGTAGACTTTCCCTGCTTATAAATATGTCTTGCTGGATTTGGCATTTTAGTCCACTCATCAAGTCCTTCCTAAGGACCTGGGATAGGCAGATTTTGTTGTTTAATAAATTAAATGTATTTTTGCAGGATGTACAGTAAATTGTTCCAAGTAAAGCTGACTTTTACAACTGATTAATGGTAATTTTTTTCTCAAGGGATGCTCCATATGGTTTTGGATTGCACCCAAAGAGCCTATTGTACTATCTTTGTTTCCTTTTGCCATTCTACTTCTATTTACAGTTCCTTTTTACTTTGTGATTTTTGTCCAGTTCTTTCTCTTTCCCTCTGTCTCCAGGTATTGCGATGTCCACTATCCAAACTTTTTTTTTGTCTTTCTTATTGGCACTTGTTAAGTCTGGGGTGTTGTGCAGCAGATACTTCTTTTTTGAAATCTAAAGTCCCAGAACACTTTAGCTTCTTCATTTTTTATGACGTCATCTGTGTTGTGGTTCCATCAGTTCTTGCTTGCAGACAAGTAGTCTTTCTTGCAGATATTCCAATGTGCTGTTGTTATTCTTGCTATTGCCATGCCTTTGTTTGTAATGCCATATTCTTGCAAGAGCTGGTTAGATGGTCTACTGTTTCTTCAGTTTTCTTTGCAGAGACAGAACTTGTTGTCTTCTCGATTCTGGTTTTATATGCATTTGTTTTTAAGGCTTGGTCTTGCATCGCCAGAATTAGCCTCTCTGTCTTTTTCTTCAACTTTCCTGCTTTGCCAGGTGTTGTTGTTTCTTTGTTTGCTCTTCTTGTGCTTTAACTGACATTTAAAATGTGGCTCTTGGTGCTCGAATATAATCTATCTATATAAAAATGGTTGTGTGTGTGTGTGTGTATGTTGCAGCATAACTCGGGAATGCCTTGAGCAATTTCAACCAAACTTGGTACACAGATGATTTACTCTCTGAAAACAAATACTTGGGGGAGGGGACACCCCTAAGACCCCTCAGGGTATGTGTTCTGTTAAGATACAGACTGTTGTGCCTTAAAATGGCTTCTACTGTACTGCTTTAAAATGGCTTCTACTGTGCAGCACAGAGGAGTTGCCATGGTAACGGCTTCACAGTACTCCACAAGGGGGCTCCCTCTGGTAAGGGGGAAAATCCAACATTAGAAATTATGTTTGGTCCGGACATTTTCAACAAAGCTTTGATTATTCTTGAGGACAAATGTATGGCCATGATCAATGAAACATTACTGCAACTTGGCCTGCCTGCACCACTACAAGACCGACACGACGTACTTCACACAGATTACATACGAGAAAAAAACTACAACGTTGAACAGCTTAGTGCATATATCGCGGACAAGAAGCCACTTCTAAATCAAGATCAGAAAAAAGCATACCAAATGATCATGGATCAGGTAGTAAAACAACTAGGTGGTACCATTTTACTTGACGCTTCTGGGGGCACAGGGAAAACATTTTTAACTAATTTAATTCTCACCAAAATCAGGGCTCAGGGTGAAGTTGCTCTTCCTGTCTAATACAGGATTGAGATAAATAAATACCCGGGCAACGCCGGGTTATCAGCTAGTGTTGGATATATGCGCCATGATCCTGCCATGCAGCAATGTAGTTTTCCATCAGTGAGATAGCTTTGCTGAATAATTACTATTGACCATTGGAGGATTATATTAAAAATGGGCAAGTATAAAGACTTTTGGAGGACCAATCTTTCTTTCTTTACATATACATATCTGTACAGTGTGAAACAGTGGGGTAACAAACCTTTATAGGAACAGCATTTTATAGTCTTGATTTTTTTTGTTTCTAAATTTACATGCCTGCTCTCTTAATCCGAATCATTGCTCATAGCTGGTTATAGCTTTCAAAGAGATCCTTCACAGGCCTAAAGAAAGACCCTGTTTTCTATTCCCGGTCATTATTGTTATGGCAGAATGCATTATCCTTGCATTCCTTGTAGATTCATTCCCATGAACAACAGCTGTTCTTGTAAACTGTCGATGATGTTCATTATTTCTCAGAATATCTTTATTGAGTAAGCCTCTGTGGCAAAGAGCAAAGGTTAAGCCAAGTGGCTTCAGAGGACCAGGAACTTCTGACCACAAGCCAGAAGTTTTAGCAGCTGTGGACTGGCAAGGGGGGAACTATTGAAGCACGGCCATTTTAACAAGAGTGATGAGGACAATTGGTGGGTTACAGTTTCCTTATTCCTGACTACTTGATATGCCTGCAGCCCTTGTTCTCTTTGGGGAAATGGCTAAACTCCTTTACCGATATACCCAGCTGAAAGGATTCAGCTGACTTCTTGCAATAATGCAGTCCCAGGTTTTAGCTGCAACCCCTAATTCTAAAGAAAGCATGTAAGGAGGACATCTGATCTTAGATCTCCTCATAAATCTTATTTTTTGGATCTAGGAAACCTCCATCTAAACATGACAGTCTCATGTTCACCAGATCCAGAATGGAATTAAGGAATATACTTTGTTTTTCTTTGTGATAACTATAAATCATTATGTAGCCATCTTACTATATAGTGTGCTTTAACCCATTATTTTTTCGTTCTCCATATCACCTTGCCAATTGGAAAGGAGCATTTTGAACAGTTCACTGTTCCACTTGGCCAAACTCCATAGAAAAATGATTTAACAAGTGTGCTAAGGTAATGTAAATCCCAGCATGGAAATTTTGGGAGTTGTATTCCTGACACACCTAGGACTAAAGAATGCCAAGGTGTTACTTGATAAATGATGATGAAATATATCCCTTCATTTAGAATGTTGTTTCTTGGGACAGAGATCAGTCGTGTCCATCACAGGACAACAAACAACATGTGTACAACAGTTCTTTGGGGGAACTAGTACAGACCACAGATAAGTGATGTTTGACTCCCTTTAGTGTACCAAAACCTCTAGAAAGAAAGAAAACTAAAGCTATCCCTTATTTCCAGGATTTTCCTATAACTCCTATAGATTCTTATCTAGCTATCTTCTGTTTTCTTGTTTGTGTGCATATATTTTCTCTCTCTATGTTTCTGTGTTTCTTATT